CGATTAAGCCACTGTGTGTGGAGACCGCTTTTCGCAATTACATGTACGCAAAAACAATGTGCTCTCAGCACGATCAGTTCTGGCTAAAATTTCTCTTGCAAACAATGGCAGAAAGCCCTAGCTTAAACTTATACTCAAGACTGCTGCCGAACTCTGAGTTAAAGGCCAATTCTGCTCATGGTTGAGAAAATTTGAAGATTTTCGGAATAAATTTTGAATTGACATTAGCTATAGGATTCAAAGAGGGACATAGTAATGCGGCTTGAGCGCTGCTAAACGTCGCATGCGGGGTTGACGCCCACTAATGGAGGAGTGCCTCTTGAACATGCGGATCTTGAAGGCGATGATCGTTCGAGAGTGCGGAGCATAAAAACATGGGAAGGACACTGCTCGTGGGGCCGCTCCCAAACAAACAAAACTACTCACCTGGTGAATTTCATGATTTCCGTGCATGTCCGTCACTCCAATATCGGCTGCTTCCCTTAGCAACATTTCAGCCACCTTCAAAAAAGATTTGGTAAACAAAGCCAACTTGAAAACGGTCAGCAAACCAACCTGATCATTTGAATCTGTAGTCAGCATGTTGTAGTAGAGCGGAGTGAGGCCGATGGGATCGCGATAATTTGGCGAAGCTCCAAGTTCCAGCAGCGCTTTCACGTTTTCGTACGAAGAAAGAAAAGCCGCTTTGTGCATCGCAGTCTGAAAAGCTTTTGCTACAGCTAAGCTTCCTGAATGGATACCCAAGACAAGACAAAATACTTCCAGTTTCTCTTCAAATTTGATAATATATGTCGACCCTTGCTATGTACAGACCTAAGCTGAAACTACCCCTAAGTCTCGGCGCACAGGTTCTAGTTCTTGTAATCTCTCAAACTAACAAAGAACTCAATAACGCCCTCGTTCTGAACCTGTTATCATTAGGTTTTTGCATTCTAACAATTGCGCGTCTTCTTAGAAAAAAGCACTTACGGGCCGTCAAACTACTTCACAACAAGCTTAATCATAAAGCGTACCAAAAGGCTAAAGCCTCATTCCTCTTGAATTACACTAAAAAGTTGGTTCGAAGTTTTAAAAGCCAAAAACATAATTATTGAATTTGCAAAATGCATCACTTTTTGTAAATAGCCTTATAGATAGGAGAGTATTGTTTGTTATGAAATTCGGATTGCTAACGGATTGACAATAAACACAAGGGCATTCTAGTTCCAACGAATCTGATCTTATCCTCTCAAAAAAAGTTTGGTTATCTCTCCATTCGTTGCTCAGAATACACTTCTATTTTATAACTTTTGGATCCCACTTTCCAGTAAAGTTGACCCTTTCTTCATAATGCTCTTTTAATCACAAAAAAACTTGCCTCTAACTTTAGTTCTCATACAAACAGCTTCTGACATCGCTGGTCATAGGTTTCAAGTGACATAAAAAGTTTTTGAAGTTATGAGAAACCATGTTGATTTTGATGAAGGTTTAATGCAAATGTTATGAGATCTGACGTTCTGGGAATAACAAAGCATAATCAACAGTGTTTTTGTAGCTACATGTGAACATTCATTATTTTCATACAAATTTACTGGCCCTATACAAATATTACGTAAGCGTACCAAAGGATCTAGTTACTAGACTTCATGCTTCATCACAGTTACAAGACCAAAAAGAAATGAAGACTAAAAATCGCTTCTCCTCTCCGCAGTATATCAGCTACGTTCTTTATGACTACATTAGTGCCTAGAAATGAAGGTTTTAGTAGCTGCAGAACTCAGCTTCAATGGAGCAGCTGTAGTTGAAAGGAATTGTAGCTAGCTAATCGTTAGTTTCTCAGCATTCTAATAGCCATTGGCTAACTCAGGTCATCTCCTTTTCGGTTATGCAAAAAAAAGTTGTGATATCTGTCAAACATGTAGCCTCTTCTGGTTGCATCTACTGTGATGTACTTGAGTGTAGGAACACTCACAGTTGTAAAGAATTATTCTGTAACGTGCCCAAATACAACTACATCTACTGCAAAAATTCCCTGCTAAGTCAAGCATATCTTTCAGATACGAGAAGAGATGCTCTAACCAAAATTTTCAGCAATCTAGAAACGGAACAGATAGTAGATAGTACGCTCTGCAGCTTGAATTACTCACGCCATGTTGGGTTCAGCTCCAACCTCTAGGCACTAACCATTATCCCAATCTTGTTTTGCCATATTTTCAAGCATTTTGTAAGGCCAAGGTAACTATTAGTTTAAGCCGAAAATATTACAAAATTGACAGATATTTCAATTTCCAAATATTTTTTTGTTTGATCTTAAATAATTACATTTTCATCTTCTATGTCTACCATATCTCTAACGCTCAAACAGCTTGATGTCCTAT